TTTATGGAGCACCAGATTGATAGTTGTTTAGCACAAAGCTATACAATGGGCTATCTGTGTTTTGTCTGCCATGGGTATAGAAACCCGATTTATAGTGTTGTGAGCCTGTAGGCTTACCGTTGAGGCGGAGCACCAGGGAAACTCAGGAATCTGCGTGAAGTTGTATATATTCAGAATTTGATCACGGTGGTGGACACAGAGCACATGACTCACTGTGTGGCTATGCGCTTAAAAACAACAACAAGAGTTTGCCTATTAAAACCTAAGTTCAGGCCTTAACTTTGCGGCAGCTGGGTGCGAACCACGAATCCCCGAATCTACTGTCTGCAAACGCTGATCATTAGGTCACTCCTGGACTATAGGATGACGTAAAAGTTATCTTTTAGATTTTATGTTTTCTCCTGTTCGTTTGTGCGTCAACGGTAAATTTACGGACTTACAACACTAAAATCCGGGGTTAGATTCCCCGCGCTGAGCAGACGGTAGATAGCCCATTGTGTGGCTTTGCGCTAAAACAAACAGAGGATTTCACTTGCAGGTGTAACATCGTGTAAAGCCTGGCATGGCCAGGTGGTTAGGACACTCGAATCGCAATCTGAGGGTTGCGGGTTCGAATCCCCGTCCCACCAAACATGCTCGCCCTTTCAGCCGTGGCGGCGTTATTATGTGACGGTTAATCCACTATGCGTTGATAAAAGATTAACTCTCCAGTTTTACACTGCTAAATTAAGGACGGCTAGCGCAGATATCCCTCATGTAGCTTTGGGCGTAATTAAGAAAAAAAACGAAAAAAAAAAAAACATCGTGTAACAAGAGAAGAAGTGTGATTCGGTTAAATTTAACTTCGATTCAACTGAGTTGAGTTAGTACAATATTACCCGAATTTTCATTTTCAGAATAGGAAAAAAGAAATAAAATAAAAATTATGCTAAATATTTTCATGATAAATAAACTAAGTATTATAAAAAAATTCATGCATTTTTCTTCTTCTTGTTTTAATTTATGCACAATTTCAATACGGCGTATCTTTTAAAACTCTATTTACTGTGTAATAATTAAAAACAAACTCAAATAACCTTGAGCTAGTTCATTGTCTTCTACATTATTTGTTAAGCATCTTGTAGCGCTACCTATGAGTTGAAGAGTGAACGAAGCCTGTATTTAGGGTCAAGTTCACTGGCTTACATATTAACTCTTCCAGCTGTAACGGCTAGTAGTAGCAGTGTGAGAAGTAAGCGTAGGGGTTCGTTATTAGGCCGTATTCCAGGACCTACCTACAAATTATTATCAGTGTAAGATCAAGGGAAGGATGATGTGGAGAGTCTTCGTGGTCGTTTCCATGGTGCCCATCTTAGCTACTAAGGTTGCTACAGAAATATTTGGCCTAGGAGCATGCCCACCTGTAAAGGTCCATCCTAGTTTTGATATCAACCAAGTGAGTACATTCCGTATCACATTTTTCTGTTTTTTCTTGGTTGACTCTGGTAGGGAGAAGTTTGTATTCAGTAATAAACCTGAAAACCCAAGAAATGGAGCACATTTCGTATCACATTTTCTGTTTTTTAAGAGTTTATATCCTAAAGAAATATTTATATTCACTACTAAATCTGAAAAATCAACAAGTTCAGCCTCTTTAATATCACGTGTATTTTTATTTCTGGGTGAATCTGGTAGGTGGTGTTTTATATTCAATAATAAGCCTAAAAAACTACCAGTTGGACACCTTTCGTATCACATTTTCTGTTTTTTAAGAGTTTATATTCTACAGACATATTTATATTCACCCCCCCCCCCCCCCACGTGGCACGGCGGCATGTCTGCGGA